CTGCAGCCTACGCCGTCGCCGGCGACTCACGGCACCCCAGTGTCACTGGCCCTCATATGTGGGATCCAAACCGGGGCCCTCTGGCATCCCAAGCCAGCTCTTAACCAACGCGCCACTCGGCCGGCCCAGGGGACTTGTTTCATAGGGCACCTGGGACAGAGCCCAGCCCTCACGAAGAGCTAGCTCAGCGATGTCGCTGTAGCACGTCCGGTCTGCGTGGGGGACGGACGCATGACTCACAGAGAGTGACTGCATGCCTGTGCTATGTGTTCAGAGATGGGTTCTGTTTGTGGGCAGGCGGTCTTTTTACTTTCCCTTGGCTGTTTGCCTTGTGGGTACTTCCAGTCCTGTCCGTTTTAGCAGATGGGGACCGACTGGACATTGGAGCCAGTTTCCTGTGGTGACAGTCTGGTCTGGGCAGGCCGTGACTGCCCAGTTTTTGAATGTGTGATTTAAATTCTTATGGCAGATAATTCACCATTGGGCATATTCTCCTTTGTGCTTGTTTAAATTAGACCCTGAAGCGAGACTGGGAATCTGAGAGAGAGTTATGCTTAGAGAACCTACGCCAAGAGTTATCTGCAAAGCACCAGGCAGAACTGGAGAATTTACGGAGCCAGTTTAAGAGGGAGTCGGCGGAACTCAGAGCTGGGCTGGAGAAGACGTCTCAAGCCAAAAATCAGGCTGAACGTGAGTGTGCGGCGAGCAGCTCAGAAGGGGCTCTGGTTTCCCTGCAGTTTTGGAGTGAGTGCCCTGTGTTCAAATGCCAGCTAGTACGTGCCCCCGCCTGACCCCCGTGAGGAAGGGCTGGGTCTCCGCTGGTGGGCACAGGCCCCTCAGGTCCCTGACCCTTCCCGAAACCTGTTTTGGAGCATTTTTGCACACTCCATGATTAAAGCGCTACCTGAACAGCAGCGGCCGGATGGTTCCATTTTCATGCGGGTTGCGGGTTACCAGACACCCGCTGGCCGGAGAGGCTGTGTTCTGGCCGCTGGCCTGCGCCCCTCCCTCCCCGCGACAGCAGGGCTGCCGAGCGGGGGCCTGGGGCCACCAGCGCGAGGTGACGCTCATTGCCAACCGTTGTCACCACCGAGACGTGCTGCTGTGGACAAAGACCTAGGCTGTGGCCTGAGCGGTCTGTGCTCTCCAGTGTCCCTGCAGAGCCTGCAGGCGCAGCATGAGGCCACTGTGAAGAGGCTGCAGGAGGAGCTGGGGACCCAGCGCTGCCGGCACACAGAGGACCCGGAGCCGGCGGACAGACAGCTGCAGGTGGGCCGTTCATAGTAACCTCTGTGGTCACGTGGGAGATTCCGAGCAGGGGCTGTTCCCATGCTTGGTGGGGTGAGGACAGCAGCAGTTACGTTCCGTCTGCACAGAGTTGGTGCTCTTCCCCAGTCCAGTGCCCCTGAGACGTCAGGGCTGGCGGGCCACATGCTCAGACCACATTCAGTAAAGGCATTCATAAGGAAAGGCCACCAGGAACATTCTGCAGCTTATGCTTCAAACTCTTTTCCCGTGAAATGCTGTCAGAACATGGGCCACGTGGCCCAGTCTTCCTCCAAGACCTGAATGCTTTTACACCAAACCCAAGAACCAGCTGTGCCCAAACACGGGCTCCAGAAGCTAAGGCAGCAGGAGATGACGATGAGTCGTGGCCTGTGCCCACGTCACAGCTGAACAGGGACAGTCCTTGGAGCCCCGCAGGAGCCTGTGTCCAGGCCCTGCTGCTCTCGCACCCAGAGACCAGCGTCAGGCCGGGGCCCACGTTCCTCCCTGATGGGACCGAGACACCGGAGGCACCTTCTGACCTGTGCTCTGCGTGAGAAGGGCTGTGGGGCCTCAGGTCAGTGTGTCGTATCAGCGTCTTCCTTTCTGGTTGCAGAGCCTTGAGTCACACGAAGAGTTGAACGCTGAGTCACAAGAGGGACCCCAGCACCTGTGGTCCCAGCTCGAGCCCACAAGGACCGACCGGCAGGAGCCAAGTGGTGAGGGCTTCATACTGGGCATCAGACTCTCAGAAGTCAGAGCGCGGGCCTCAGTTGTTGGCCCAGATGAGGTGGTCACAGTGGCAGTAGGCACGTTGATTCATGAGTTTCCTGGCCATGGGCGCTACAGTTTGAGGTGGAAACCTTGGTTTCATGCTGAGTAGGTCGCCCGTCTGCCCACAGGATGTCAGGCTCCTTAAGTGGGAGGTCAGCAAGCTGCCCACAGGGGCTGGCTTCCCTCTGCCTGGAAGCGCTGGCTGAGCGCAGTAGAAACGCAGTTCTCAGCCAGCGCCCGGGGTCGCAGGTGTGCCTTCCGTGTGGGTCCCACGAGCTCCATCCTCTGTGCGATGGCGACAGCTGATTCTGCAAGCCCCATGCCTGCAGCCCGTCCTTGGAGGCAGCTCACCTGGGCCCTTCAGGGACCTGTGTCAGCGGCCTACGCTCCTGGTCGCACCTTCAGTCGGAGCGGTCAGGAGATGCAGGGGAGGCAAATCTGTGCTGCTCTGCCGCTTGTGTCCAGATGGAGCGCTTGTAGCCGGTCCTGGCCCTGACTGGGGAAATGTGATTGGGGACAAGGGAGTTAGTTAGGAGAAAGGAGCGGAAATGGCGCCTGCGGCAGCTCGCTGATAACCACATCCAGGCTGCCTGCTTTCCCTCCCGCCTGTGGCCTCCCGGCCACCTCCCTGTGGGAGGCCGCCTGTGTCACTTCGCAGGCTCTGGGGAGGGGCCTCCAGAACTGCCCCAGCACCATGCTCCGGGCTCTTCAGGATGGCCCGATATCTCCTAGCGTCTCATTTAAGGTGATTGCATAATTTCATCCCATTAAGAACTGTACGAGCAGCAGCTGGCCCAAGCACCTGACGTGGAGGGCCTGACACCATCACAGCAGCGGCTGCAGGAAGGGAGGGAAGACGGTCTGCTGGAGTCTGAGGAAACGAGGTAAACGGAGCCGCTTTGTCTTCATGCGTTTGAAATGCAGGAACCTGGGACTGAACTGCCGTCTGCTCTGGTTTGTGACTTTGCCATGGAGATTAACGGCTTCAAAACAGCACGCCGCTAGGGCCGGGAGTTGTCTGACTCACACAACAAGTCGCAGTGGCAACATGTGCGGGGCACAGGCTCTGGAGACCTGGTGTTGCCCCAGGGTCCCCGCAGCTGTGACGCCGACTCTGGCCACCATCACAGACACAGCTCAATCAGCCCTGCTGTCCCGTCCCTGACCCAGAAGCAGGGTTGCTAGGGACAGAGCAGGAGGGATTTTCTGTCACTCACGTGGTCAGAGCCAGGATGGCAGAGGTCACCTGTGGGAGCGCCATGTGCCAGCCTTTCAGGAGCTGCCTTCTCTTGCAGTGCACGCAGCATGGGGTTAGAAGAGATGCCTGAGAAGGAATGGAGAGACCGCCTCCATCCACTCAGCCTGCAGCAGGAGCCACGTGAGGTGACGGCCATTTGGTCCCACTGAGGGTAGGGTTGACATGTGACATTGTACTAGTCCAAGGTGGACCGCGTAACGACTCGATATTTGTCCGTGTTGGGAAACGGTCACCACAGTAAGTCTCCGGGGCATCACCACACAGTTACAAGTTCTTTCCCTGGTGATGAGAACTTTTAAGATCTGCTGTCTTAGCGACTCTCAGGTGCACACGGCAGCATCTTCCCTGCAGGCCCTCCTGTGCATCCACCACAGGACTTACCTTGTAACCGGAAGTTTCCTTCTTGTGACACCTTCACCCGGTTCACCCCCATCCCCCGCCTGTAGCAACCACCGCTCTGTTCTCTGTACCTCTGAGCTTGGTTTGCTTTTGTTTCTGTCTTGGATTCCACATGTAAGTGAGATCATGTTATCTGTCTTCCTGTCTGACTTACGGTATTTCACTTAGCATGATGCCCTCCGGGTCTATCCATGTCACAAATGGCAAGATTTCACCCTGTTTTATGGCTGGATAACATTCCGTTGTATGTGTATTTTACATCTTCTTTGTCCATTAGTTCATCAGTGGACACCCAGGTTGTTTCCTATCTTGGCTGTTGTGAATAACACTGCAGTAACCATAGGGGCAGATATCTTTTCGAGTTAGTGTTTTGAATTTCTTCAGATGAATACCCAGGAGTGGAATTGCTGGGTCATAAGGTAGTTTTATTTTTAATTTTTTGAGGACCCTCCACAGTGTTTTCCATAGTGGCTGCACCAATCTGCAATCCCACCAACAGTGCATGAGGGGTCCCCTTTCTCCACGTCCTTGCCAGCACTTGTTGGTTGATTTATTGGTGATGCCGTTCTGACAGGTGTGAGGTGACATCTCGTTGTGGTTTTGATTCGCTTGTCTCTGATGATGATGAGTGACACTGAGTGTCTTCTCATGACCCTGTTTGCCATCTGTGTGGAAAGGCGACTCTTTAGAACCCCTCCTCCCCATTTTTAGTCAGATTGGCTTTTTGCTGCTGAGTCAGGTGAGCAGTTCGACACTCTGAGAAAGGCCATGTCTTGGTGATCTTCAGTTAGCGGTAGACCGTTCTATGGTATGAAGTCTGAACGCTCTCCCTTTTCACAGCTGCTGCCTGACACGTATCACGTGGAGGAGGGCTGGCCGACTGTCTCGTGGTTCACTGCTCTAGTGACGTACAGGCGTTGTGGTCTGCTCACGTGTTTGTTCACAATGACATACATGATGGGCGGCATAAAGCGGAGCTGTCTGGGGAGCCCGCGCCCCCGCCCCCACGCGCCCCCGCGGACCACCATGTGGCTGTGTGTCCTGTCCTTGGATGTTCAGCATTGTTCACTGGCCTCTGTCCCCCTCAAAAGGTGGCCTCCAGGTGCTTGTTTCTGTCATTTTTAACCTGTGTTGATGGCCAGTCCACATGGCCTCTGAGACGGTGGGTAGTGCTCTGTGCTACAGGGCGGTGGCTACTGGCAAACGTGGCCGGGAGCCCCTGGAGCCGAGGTCGCTTTTTGTTTGATGGTGACCTTTGCAGTGTCTATAGCCCGGGTCTGGGGGCCGCAGTCCTGTGCAGGCAGCGCTTACAGGTGGTGGAGCGCCCATGGCCTGAGCCGGGTGAGGACTGGCTGTCGTGTACACACCTGCTCTTCCTGGTCACGCAGGTGTGTCTCGGTCAGCTTGGGCAGCCAGGCAACAGACATTTGTCCCCTCACGGTGCCAGAGGCTAGAGGTCCAAGGTCAAGGTGCCACAGGGCTGGTTTTTGAGGTTGGATATCTTGTTACTTGTACCTGAGCATTCTTTCATGATTTGCTGTCTGCTGCTCCTTTTCTCTGAGGTTCAGCTATCCCCATCCTGCTTGAGACTGGACGTGGCTGTGGTTACTTCCACGTGGCAGGTGGCCCCAGGGGCTGGAATTGTGAGTCCTTCCCCTTGTCCTCGGCTCTTCATCCCCACTCGCGGTGTAACAGTATTTTCCTATATTTTCTTCTAGTTCTTTTAAAGGCTTACTTTCTGTTTTTAGTTTTTGTCCATTTGGAACTTAGCTCTTGTCGGCCGGAGGTGTAGGCCCTAAGTTTTTTCCCTTTTCCAGTTGGTGAGTCACGTTCAGGCCTGACTGACCGGACCTGCTCTCCAGTCTGCACCGTGACCCTTTCATGTGCTCAGTGTCACAGGGGCAGGACTCATGACATTTAGCTTGCTGTGTCGCCTCTGGTTTTGGGGAAAGTGGGTTTCCGAGTTGCATTGTGGGGGATAGGAAGCGTGGAAGCAGCCCTTGAGCCTCCTTCCGTCCAGATGCCCGGCTGGGCCCAGTTGCCGGGGCTGCTCACTGCAGAGACCCTGCCCCGCGGATCTCTGAGCAGGCCCAGCACCGCCTCTGTCGGGCTGAGCAGGGCAGGGAGGATGGGGCTCGTGCTAAGTGGCTGTAGAAACCTGGGAGCCCGTGGGGCTGGTCAGGGAGGCCGGTCAGGGAGGCCAACTGGCCTGTGAAGGACGAAAGAGGGTGAGCAGAGGAGGCGGAGCCTGGGAAGGGATGGGAGAGAAAGGACGGGGTCCAGCTCTGGGAGTAGCCTGTCCCCCTCAGGGCTGTGATCTGCCGTTTCCATCTGGACATGAGGGGGTTGGCCCGTGAGGCTTACCTGGGAGGCAGCGACGAGGCCACCAGGCAGAGAGGCCCATGAAACGTTTCTTCTGTGCTCCCCCAAAGGCCAGCCTGCGTGTACTCACACAACTGGAAGAAAGCCGCCAGTGCCAAGGGGCAGCCCAGCGGGAGGCAGACGTCATGGAGACCCAGGTGTTGGAGCAGCTCCCGGGGCCCTCGGAAAGGCCTGGCCAAGGTGGGCGCCACTCAGCACACAGGCCTGCTTGTGGGGCGTTGGGAGCGTTGGCTGGGCCTGTTGGGGAGGGCCTGGCCACACAGCAGCACGGGGCATGGGCTGGGGTGGCCGGGTGGTGGCGGGTGCAGAAGCTGTGTTCGTCCCAGGGGTGTGGCAGATGGGGCCGGGCAGCGGCCTTGCTGCCAGGAAGAGCGGGTGTGAGGCCAGACACGGAGCGCCTGCCTTGTCCCAGGCTTCCTCGGAGCTGGTGGGGTGGTGAGGGGGGCACAACCCTGAGAGCCTAGGTCACACTGCGCTTGGCGCCTGTCCTCCCTGTTCTTCCTGCATGAGAGGTGCCCATGGCCACCGCACAGCACTTTAGGCCGCCGGGCACAACACACCAGCTAAGAGCCATGTGTTACCTGAACCAGAGGAGCAAAGCGGGCGGCCGGGGCTGGGGGATGTGCGGGCACACGGTGTGGCCACATCAAGTGCACACGGTATTCAGAATCTGCGGGTGTGCTATCGCAGGCGTCTGAAGGCAGGTGTGCTGCCATGTTACGTGGGTGTCCTTGGGGTCACACCTGACTGTCTTCCCTGCCGCTGCCTCCTCCTCGCAGAGCTCGCTCGCATGTCTTGCCAGGCTGCGCTGGACACGGCGGAGGGAGTGGAGACAGCCGTGGCGTCCAGAGTGCTGGGTTTGGAAGCCGAGCACAAGGTCAAACTCTCGCTGCTGCAGACGGAGCTCAAGGAAGAGATTGATCTGCTAAACACTGAAAAAAGAGATTTACTCGAGCAGCTGCAGCAGGAAATCCGCCTGAAAGAGGACTTGGAGAAAGTGAGTTTCGAGTCCTGGCAGCGAGGCCACTGTGACCTGTGGGAGCAGGTGGCCCGGTCGGCTGGATGGCTGGGGTGTCGGTCTGCTCAGGGCTCGGCCAGGAGTGGGCTTGGTGAGTGTGCCCCTCATTCGGGACCATCTTTCCCCCAGGCGAGGCAGAGCGCTGCCTCCTGTTGTCCCTTCCACCGGCCCTCGGGAGCTGGGGCACAGGGAGGGGCTTGAGCCAGGCTGCTTGCGTGGCCCCTTCAGGCTTTGTCCCCCCCGGTGCCTCCCGTGGTGGTGTTGCTCAGCCCCGGCCCGCCGAGTTACCCAGTTACCAGTGGGCTCTGCCTACAGCAGTGTTTTCCCCTGGAGTGAGTGCATCGGGCTGTGACTTCTACATGCTTTCCGCATGGGTTCGACTTTGCTTTGGGCTCATTGCCATCACCCTGCGTTATCCTGTGAGGGGCTTTGCATTTTCAGTCTCCATCCAAACAGACTTTCCCAGGAAGCCATTCTCACCTGCAAGTTTGATGATGTTCTGTTCTCTGTCCGGGCGTTGTGAGGACTTGGAGCAAAGTAGGGCTGAGGGTAGAGCTTTTGGGAGCTGAGTGGGCAGCCATGGTGGCCGCGGTCCCCAGACGTGACCTCAGGCACCTCCCACCGACGGGCTGGCTTCCCTTGATGCCTTTGGTTTCGGGGGGGTGTGTGTCTCCTGGACCCCGTTTCTCCCGTACTTTTTGAGGGGGGGTGCACACTGGCCCTCTCCTGTCACGGCTGTCAGGGTCACTCTAAGTGTTCTGAAGCGGTTACGCAGCCCGTGGATGATGTGCTCCTGACAGACGCGCCTCTACCGCAAGCTGTCTGTTTCTCTCCCGGTGGCAGAGTTGCTGCGGTCTTGGTTTGCATGGTGTTCGTGTGGTGCCCCTTTTCTGTCCGTTTTGTTTGCATGGTGTCCCTTTTCTGCCCATTTTACTTTACTGTATTTTAAGAAACGACCCGAAGTTAGTGTCTGACCCTACAGGTGAAGGGCTCAGTCCCACGAGATGACCCCCCTCAGTGGTCAGTCCCCAGGTCCCCACACCTGTGTCTGACTCGGCTCCAATCAGAATGTTCCTATTATCCCCACCCCCCCTTCCAGGTACAGTAATTGCTAGAATGCTCACAGAGCTTAGGGAAACACTGACGTCCTGTCACCCGGGTATCACCGAGGGTTCGAACAGGAGCAGCCACGGGGCATGGTGGGGTGTCAGCGGCCCGGCCCCTGCGTGCACTCCCCAGACACCAGGCTGTCTGACCCCAGCGTTCAGGGTTGTCGTGGAGGCTGAGGATGCCACCGGCCGTTGGTAACCGACCTCAGCGTGCAGCCCTGTCCCTTCCCTGGAGGCTGGCAGGACTGAACAGGTCTGAGGACCCGCCCCATCCTGAAGCCATGTAGGGCTCCCAGCCACCAGCTTTCTTGCATACGAGACCCTTTTATCACTGCAGCGATGCCAAGGGTTCTAGGACCTGTGTGCCCACAGCTGGGGACAAGGACTGCACAGCTATTTCTGAGTATATTATGCACATGCACAACGCGTCATTGGGTGTGTTTAAAATCTTTCTGACAATCTACCTCTTTACTGGAGTGTGTAGTCCTTGAACTTCCCATGTCATTATTGATATGGTTGGACTGAGGTCTACCATTTTACTGTTAGTTTCTACAGGGTCCATCTGTTTTTCTTTTGTTCATTTTTGTTTGTTTGTTTTGTTGTTGTTGTTCCTCTGTTTCTTCTTTGTCTTTTGGATTAGTTGAATATCTTCTAGAGTTGATGTTAATGTCTGTTGACACCTGAGTGGTACCTCTTGCATTATGATCAATGGTTGCTTTAGGGGTTAGAATAGATATTTGTAACTTCCAGTCTTCTTAGAGTTACTGTCAGGCCATCTCACAACAGTGTAAGAGCTCATGATTGCGAACGTGCGTTTACCACCCCCTGTCTGTTATGCTGTAATTTTCATAGGGATTAAATCCACCTGTGTTGCAAGCTCTGCAGTATGATGCTTTGCTCTAAACAGTCACTTGTACTGGAAAGAAATTCAGAATAGGAAGCTTACATTTACCATTTACAGCACTCTTCATTTCTCCCCAAAGATCAGTGTTGACAACGGCTATGGTCGTTGTGCAGATCTGCACATGTTCTCCTGTAGCTGAAAAGTCTTATTTTCACCTTCATTCTTGAAGAATATTTTTGGTGTATAGAGAAGTCTGGGTTGACTGTTTTTGTTCAGGATTTAAAGATGTTCTTTCTGACTTGGTTTCTGGTGAGAAGGGAGGTACCGCTCAAATCATTGTTTCCTTGAGTGTCATGTGTCATTTTCGTTTGGCTCCTTCAAAGGTTTTTCTTGTTATGTTTCGTTCTCAGTCATTTCGCTATGATGTGCCTATGTATGATTTCCTTTGACATGTTTTCTCTCACAAGATTCTAAAAATTAGTACATACAATTGATTGCAAATATTTAAGAAAAGGAAACAGGGACCCTTAGAAACATAGTTAATGAGCCGGCCGAGTGGCGCGATGGTTGAGAACTGGCTTGGGATGCCAGAGGTCCCCGGTTCGGATCCCACATATGCGGGCCAGTGACACTGCCCTCCACAGCTAAGATGCTGAACAACAGCTCAACCTGGAGCTGGGCTGCCGTGAGTCGCTGGTGACGGCGTAGGCTGCAGCCCCTGTGGCAGTGGGTTGCCATGGGCTACCGTGTGTAGCCAG